CAGATTCGCCAAGGAAGTGGTGGCGGAAACTCCGGAAGGACATGCTAGAGTTGCGCATTGACCTTGAGGGAGTTTTGCATCATTTCGTTCAGAATCCCCTTGACCCCTGTTTGTTTCAGCTGGTTCCTGTGGACACGCCTCAGCATGAACCAGTGGCCTACGTAGGCGTCCATGTGGATGATCTTCTTGTGGCCGGCTCAAAGGAGACAAGCCAGAAAGTCAGGGATGCACTGTCGGGTATCTTTCCTGTGGATGGGTGGGAAATTGATGACTTCGAATATATAGGTAGTCACATCACTGTCACTGACACCGGAGTGCATGTGAGTCAGCAAGCCTATGCCGCCTCCCGCCTTTTTCAAGTAGATATCACCCCCGGACAGAATGACATGGACCTGGCTTCTGAGGAGCAGAAGATTGATAATCAATCTTTGATAGGGGCCCTTTCTTGGTTGGGTAGTCAGTCAAGGCCGGACTTGCAGTGCTCTGTTTCGTTGGCACAACAGCTCCAAAAGTCGCCGACGGTTGGTGATGTTCGCTTCACCAATCAGACAGCTCGCCGTGCATGGGATCACCGTGACAAGGGCTTGTGGCTCAGGCCTCTCGAGCTCAACTCCCTCGAGTTCCTGATTTACCACGACTCAGCCTGGGCCAATGCCGAGTTGACTGGTGAGGATGGCTTCCGTCTGTCCTATGAGGACCACGAGAGTGGGATGATGCACGGCACCCCCTACGACACAAAAGAGCGGAAGGCCAAGCGCGCCAACTCCAAGGTTGCCAGTCAGTATGGCATTATGATCCTCCTTGTCGATGGCAGCTCGTTCACTTCAGGCGGCGGACCTTGCAGTGTCCTCGACTGGAAGTCTACAGCCAATCCCAGGGTCTGCAGATCAACCTTCGGAGCTGAGACTACTGCCTGCACTGAGGCCATAGAAATGGGGCAGTACGTCCGCTCTTTTGTGAAGACCCTGCTTTCCGGACACCTTCAGCGCGTGGAACGCGTTGCTGGGAGTCAGCTCCGCTGCATAACAGACTGTAAGTCACTTTTCGACCACCTTCATAAAGAAGGTATTCCAAGAATACCTTCAGACAAGCGTTTGGCCATCGATCTAGCAGCTTTGCGTCAACATTTCCATGAGGAGATGCTCGACGAAAGGATTCCTCTGTATTGGGTCCCCACTTCCTTTCAGCTTGCTGATATCCTTACTAAGCCCTGTAATGCCGACGAATGGTGGAAGACCATTTATGGAGGAGTCCGCCTCCCCTTTCAGCACAAGCATCTATCCTGAGAAGCTTCACGCTTCTTACGTACAGAGGGTGCTGAGTCGCTGTTTAGCGGGGAAAGTTTTGAAACAGTGTTAAACCGAAAGTCTACCTGGCCTGCGCGAAGGCTTTATGGTTCGGAGAAAAGAGCACGTTCGCTCTTGCCGAGGTGGGGCCCCCAGGGAGGTTCTTAGGGGTCTGGGTAGGCTTTGTTTCGTTATTTATGGAGATTGTGTCCAGTTCCTTGACAGGGGTTCCAAGAAGCTCAATTTCTCTTCTCGCCTTCTTCTCGCAAGAAGCTGCATGGTGGATGCATACTTGAGGCAGCAAAAGTTCAGGACGAAGGCCTATTTGAGGGCCGCGACAGGTGTCGTTGAATACTTCATGTTGAGGGTTTCCGTAGGCACCTTGTGTTGCATCTCGCACGGCTTGACTCTGAAACTGCAAGCCCTAGACCCCAAAGGACAATGTCCGCTGGTACCAGTCTCAGGCATTGAACGCCCTCAAGCCTTGAACCTCCAAAAAGAGAAGTGCAGGAGAGGGCCTTGCTTGTTGCTGGCGCTGGGGCAACCGTTGTGGGAGCAGCACGGATCCCAGTCCTGGAGTTCGGATTCACAGGATGTCTGGTTTCTGATTCAATGCAGTTCTGAAGGAAATTGGCAGCACAGGGGAGTGACAACACCGAGGCAAGGCTTTTAAATTGACTCTAGCCGCGAACCATGACTTTGACAGACAACCTATATGCACCTTACGCTTTGAGGTGGGAGTTAGCCCAACAAGGGGCGACAATAGTAAAATTCCGGGCCCGAAAACAGTTCCTAATGGTCTTGGCCTGCACATGAAAGTCAAATTAAAAGCCCAACCTCTTACTCTCACTTACTTTTCTTAGGATGACCGATCCGGGAGAGCTCAGGCCCGAGAGGTTTTGTAGTGAGCCCTCCATTCCAGACCTTGATTTCGAGAACAGTCAGCCTGCAGTTCGAGGGGGGAGCAATTCTTTTAGAGTGATGCCCTCATCGCAGGGATGGAGGGGATGCAGGAGTGAAGTGACCCTAGTGTGCGGGTTCCGTGTGGATGAGGCTGTAGGCTTGGGGACACATGCCTCAAATAGACAGGTTTTGGCACAGATTTGACTTCCCAGCAAGTCTTGCGGATATAGCATGCGTTCATGAAGTGACACTTTGGGCAAGTCAACAGTTTTTGGACCCTTGCAAGCACATGTTCAAAATTTGAAAGACTGCAGCTGTAACGAGCTTTCCGAAGCCATATAGCAATGCAAGTCTGTGCTAGCCCAGCAGGCTGAAGAGCACCAGCCTGTCCCAAGAATCTGTCCTGAAACGGTTACCCGTAACCAGGGCAACAAGAGGCTGCCCGGCGACTGTTCGTTTGGAGGGTGCACTTCTTGGGGCCTAGTCCGATGCTCCCTCAGCAAGGTTCAAGGCTTGACACAGGGGCTTGGTCTCAGGCAGCTGCTTGTCAAAAAGGTGGATAGCGCTTGGCCTACCCGTTGCTGCTAGAGTTTGGTGATTTGTCTGTCATTTCGTGTGATCCCATCGCCAGGGTCATCCACAATTGAAGCTCTCCCAACCGCACGGGTGTTTTAGAGGGCGGGGACCTCAAGTTGTTGAGCTTAGCCCTGTCCCGCGATCCAGAGATCTTAAGGCCATCGTGGGTGGCCTCCACGAGTCCTTGAGTGGCATGACTGCTTTCCCCGGACAGGACGAGCCAATGAATGTCACCGCTTGAGGAAAAGAGGAAAAGGCTGTCGCAGGTCTTCACACATGCAGCAAACTTAGCTGCTTCTCCATGTGTAAGTCGGTGTAGAGGCGCCCGAAGCACGTATCATTAAGATCCTGCATAGCCTTACTGATGATCGGTGTATCGGAAGCTGTGCTTACCACGGAGCTGAGCATCTTTTGGGCATGAAGCGGGGGCCGCAATTCTGAGCGATGGCAACTTAAGCCAGTATGAATTCACAGGTATGGTGGGGTCTCAGTAGGGATGTTTCTGATGGAGTTTGTGTTTTAGGCTCCCGTGTAATGACGAAACTGCACGACCGAGCCAAAACAGGGCTCGAAGATTTATGTCGCCTTGTTTTTCCTGCCGGAGGCCCAACTTCTTTTGTTCGGGAACTTCTGAGGAGAGTCACCCCAAATGCCTAAGCCCTACCTACTTGGCTTACAGGTCTGCCATGAGATTGAACCTTCATGTCTGCAGTCCGTTACGGCTTGAAGCAAAGCTGCCGAGCTGCGAGCAGTTGCTGCGTGCAGGACGTGTAGGGATCAGGGGCTGGGGCACAGGGGATCTTGTCTTGCGATTAGTGTAGTACTGGCCCCCTGTCAGCATTCCTGGGTCCGTGCATCAGTTTCCCACTTGTTTTTGAGAAGGCTTTTCAGGATGTTTCAGGCAAGTCCTCCATTCTGGGCTTTGCCTTTGCTGATTTTTAGGTAATTTGTAGTCAAAGCTTCAGCGCACAGAGGACCATTGGACCATGGACCTTGGGGACGGAATCAAACAGTACTCGAACGAAGACACCTTCTCATAGCCCAGCCCTCTGAGTGGGCTGCCAAAACTCAGCATTGTTGTTTCTTTGACGTGGTTTTCATTCCTGTGCCTTCCTAATTCTCTGCCAGCAGACTCTGCTTCGCTGCGCTGTGGTTGTCTTTGCTTTGCTGATTATGCGTTGTAATGGCCTGCACGGGATTCTTGGGCTAGTTTCTTAGACGTGTAGAGCAGCGCTAGGATTCCAGGAGCAGTTGCGAAGTTGAGGCGGCCTAATTTTCTTTACAAGCAAGACAAAGGCCACACTTAAGCTGTGTTTGCTGGCCAACCATGACTTCAGTTGTTTGCCTTCTGGCTTTGGAGTTCCTTTAAAACAGAACCTGCGAAATGCGAATTCTGAATCTAAGCAAATGGCTCCCACAACGCCAAGCCTGAGCGCCAGAAGCCCACGAGTGGCTGATGAATATGCCCTCCCCAAGGAGAGGCAACTGTTGAGAAGAATCCATGAAATACCCCGAGTGCTTGCTAAAATTTTGGTCCCTGCCTTGGGGTTCTCTCACAAAGACTCGATGCTTTTTGGGGCCATGCAGGGACCCGCATGTGGCAGACATCCATGTAGCAGGAGTTTCAAAGCCATGGTGGCTGCGTGCGACTCTCAGCGCGTGGCAGATGTAGGCTTGTTCCAGGTGTGGCCGGGGTATAGGTTTTAGGTTTCTGTTTATGATGAGTGTATATAGGGCTCCCCCAGAAGTACCTAGTGTTTAATTCAGAGCATGCAGGACATGTTGGGACATTTTTTAAAGGGAGTTCTCTCAGGAGTTTGGCCTAACATAGCTTGCATGTTTCAGTAGTGAGCTTCAGGGACGTCTTTGTGTGGCCGTGGGGGACCGGATATCGGGTCTCCAAGATGAGTCTAAATCATGAAGCCCAAGCCGCTACACCATGAGACTCTAGACCAGGGACACGGAACGTGGTTAGACACTAGCAGTCTTACAACCCGTCACATGCCTGATGCATCCCTGTATGAACCCATCTCAAAGTTCCTTAATTTTGTGTCGTTGAATTTGGGTTCCCAGCACAGTGCACAGTACAGATCCTGAACTTGTTCTGCCTCAGCAAACACTCAAGACCAAGACTGATACATACAGCTCTGAAACCCCTCAACAGAAGAGTTTTCTGTGGCAAACCTTGATCCCAAAGCTGAAAACTCCAAGGCTGAAGCCCTGACCCCACAAACCCGCGCTGAGGGCAGGGAATCCGACCTGCTACTTTGCGGCCTCCGGCGTCTCCGCGCTGGCGTTTTTCCCCCTATGGAAGGCACTTCGGGGGCTTGGGTGATGTAGGGGGATGATTGCTTGCTTTTCAGGGGAATGGCAATCACACATGGGGTAGGGGGTATAGAGGGGTTATATAGGGATAGTGGGAATGAAGATAGAAACTATTATCATTGGGGTTATATAGGGGATGTATAGGGGACATATTGAGGATATAATGCTTTTTGAGGGGATAGTCGATAGTCATCCTGTTGTTACAACTCTCAGGAGGGCTTCCAGTCTTGTAGCGCCAACCGTTTCTAGTTTTGCTTGTTGCAGCATAAGACCATATAAACAGCTATGCTTAAGGCATAAACGTTGACTTGACGGTTGTAAGTCTGCGTCTGGTTATACTATGATTATTAGGGTTGGGTTGGGTTGTGGTACAGATCCACTTCCCGGATATTGACAACAAGGACCATGCTTGTTTGTGGCATACAGCCCACAACTTTGAGTGATACCCCGATACGGGGCTAGGCAGCATTCCTGTCGCTTAGGAGCTGCTTCTCAACAAGATACTGGCGACTATGAGATGTCTTAGGGAACCTCAAGAGTCATAGTAGGTCTACAATGAGAAGGCAGGAATGGCATCCCCAGTTTGTACCCAGAATGGTTTCCTTTTCTCGGGCCCTGGGAACTCCCCTGCTGGAAGATCTTTCAGACCAGAAGGCCTCTTTGATGAACGCCCGAAATCGTTCAGGCAGCCTCCGCAACCTTCATTTTCAGGCTTGCTCTTCCTGTGAGCGGTACAGGTTTCTGGCATTGCTCGTGCTACTGCGATCAACTACGCGTATTCATGGAAGTGTTCGGAGGAGAAGGACGAGTCCACGCCAAGTAAACTTCTGGCCCCCCAAGCCCAGGATGCTAGACTCCAAGCCCCATGTCGTCATCATTTCACTGAATTTAACTCCCAGACCTTCCCCTGAAGACCCACACGCCAAATTCACTAAGTCCTAAGCTATGATCCCCAGGCAGCTGCAATTGGCCAGTCTGGCTACCAGGCGAGCAGAGGGGAAGACTGGGCCAAGCAGCCTTCAGAAACTGGATACGGGATGATTCGAGTGTGATGACTAAGGGCTGTCCGTATGCGCATTTGGATCATCAGAAGATCATAAATCGGGATAGGCAAGGACTACAAGGTTTGTGTGCTAGGATTCAGCTACAAGGTCCTTGTCCCAGGCTCGCGTGTTGGGAGGTTTTTCAAGTTTTATGCTTTTGATCTGAATCTGGGTTTGCAGTGTAGTTTTGGATGCGGTCTTTTGGAATATCTATGATGGCGGGGGCCTGATTCGGCTTGAAACCTGAGATTGCTTGAGCTGCTTAACTCTGTCCACATGACAGTACCCGAAGATTTTGTGGAACGCCCATGAGCAAATCCCACCAGTTGCTTCCAGCCTCAAATACTCCGGGGGGTTGTGGCAATAACTCATCCTGATCCCTTGAATTCGAATGAAATCGATAAACATGGTATGCTGGAGTTGCAGATCCTGAGCTTTTGCCCGACAAAAGACGCCTGACGCGTTCCTACTACGCATTCCCGCAAAAGATTCCTACTAGGCATTCCCGGCAGGCATGCCATATGTTACCAATGGATGGATGAGTGTAGAGAGAACATCCTGTAAACCTTACACCCTGAGGCCGAACCTCGATCCCAAACTTGAAATCCCAAATCCCATACCCTGAAACCTTGAAGCCTACACCAGAAGCTTCGGAAGCCTCAGGACAAACTGTACCATCCCCGCAGAGTCGCAAAGCTCCTGTAGGAAATCTATAGTCGGCTTCCATGCGGTACAGACTATTATCCTATTGCTCATTCCCAAAATTAGGGGTAATCCCCCCTATAAAGGAGAATCAAATGGAAAAGAACATGGAAAATGAAATGGAAACTGGGTTTATATAGGGGATTATAGGGGTAAGGGTTTCCCAAAATTAGGGGTAGCCAGCCCCAACCTTCGCTGAGCCCAAGCAGCCTGAAACAGGATGGAAATTGCAAAAAGCCCAAACTTTCGTTTACTATCATAATTATTACTTACTAATTACTACCATTACTATTGCTATTGCTATTACTATTACTATTGCTATTACTGTTGCTAAGACCTAAGTAGAGACATCTCCCGAACGAATAAACTGGGTTGCTGTGAAGGAACTTCATTTAAGTTACTACTTTGGGGAAACTCTATCAGTTAATATGTGTATATATGTACCCATTATGGTAGCTAACAGTATCCCAGTAAAGTGCTTCGAGGTGGCAGGACAGGGCTACTGGCAGAAGTACTTCGAGGCCATGAAGCCTCCTTGGAGAGGCGCAGGTTGTTTAGGGTTTAGGGCTTGGGGTTTCTGATTTCGGCGTTCATTCCTGTGTGGCATTTCACCATTGGTTTAGGGTTTGTAGGGTTCACCCCCCTCTTTAAGTAGTGTAATTTAGGGTTTCGGGTTGAGGCATTTCCCCGACTGAGTTATTGTAAGTTCGGCCTCAGCGCTTTGACAGCTGCAGTCGTTGCTATGTTCATCCTTTCTATGCTTGTGGTTGTCGTCGCGGTATGCCGCTTACGGTCGTTGGTCGGGTGTAGTTTTGATGAGATTTCATGATTTTTTTGGATTTCGGACTGTTTGGCAGTCTGTTCCTGCAGGCGGAGGCTATGTGGACAACGTACAGATGTCATGTCAGGATTTATGCAGGTACATAATAGAAGAAGCGCTGATCTAGAGTTTTGGGGTTCAGGAGAGGAGGTCTCGGTTTTCAAGGTTCCGGTCAAGGGTTTGGGTTCAGGCTGTTACTAACCCACTCTGATGGTGGGTTAAGTGGTAGAGATGCAGTGCCCAGGTGCAGCTACAAGGACCTCCTAGGACAGGGCAAAACAAACTTCTCAAGCAGCGTGGAATAGGATTCAGGGTTTAGGGGGCCAACTTCCTACTCTTGTGACCAGCCTC